TGTGGAACTATTTAAAATATGAAGAACATTCACCAGATATTCGACACAAATAAGAGCTTTATTCATCAAAATGCAAAGCGTATCAAGGGTTGATTTCAAAGAATAATCTTGTCTGATTAAATAGGAAACAAAATTAAATTTCATTTCATTTGCTTGACATAATGATAGTATTTAAGAATTAAACGCCCACAACTCCTATAATAAAAATAAACTACTCATATTCTTCTTATTCTAACGATGATTTTAAATTGGCCTTTACAGAGATTTTGCTCTGCCAAAGTACCTAGTAGACTTGAAGATATGATTAGTGGATTCAAAATGTACAACCTAGGAATTTGTAGAATCAACCATTGAGTAAAACTCAGTAACGAAAAACTCAACTATGCTAGGTAGTCTTTCTTCTAGTGTTTTTTTCAACCATAGTTGAAACACTTTCCTTTCAGTGTTTTTTTCAACCGTAGTTGGAGCACTTTCCTTTCAATGTTCAATTTGATTTGAGCTTCTTGTTGCTCTCTTCTTCTTTTCAAACCTGCCTTCCAACTTGGAGTCAAGAGCTACCAATCGCTGAATGTGCATTGCCAATCTTAACTTTATGAATAATTCTCACACAACGTAACTCATTCTTCAAATTAGTTAATGTCATCTTCATTTTTGTGCAATTGATAGTCCACAATAAAACAATGAAAAATATCAAATAAAGAATTCAACACAATATCAATATGAGTGTCTGTGTTGGTTTCACCTAAATTCTCCTCTGCATTGAAATTTGCAATCATAGTCAATATATGATTCCTCAAAGGCATATTGGGTTTCATTTGGATCTTTTGTAATGTACGAATGAACTTAGAACGTGCCTTGCATTGCTCATATTTTGCGAGTATTCCAATGACGACTATTTCATTCTCAATTGATTAAGCTTGCCACAATTTCTATAATCACTCAAATGCGATTGTTAGCTATATAAGCAATTTATTTGTTATAATCAAAACGTGAAGTCAACCTTAGGTCAACAAGTTTCACTTAATAAATACCTAAAAATTTCGGGTCCGGTGAAGAACCAAACAAAACTATGTCCAACCCTATCCACTATAGTTGGAACACTTTCCTTTCAATGTTCAATCTGATTTTAAGCTTTTTGTTGCTCTCCTGCTTCTTGTTAGCTCTCTTCTTCTTTTCAAACCTGCCTTCCAACTTGGAGTCAAGAGCTACCAATCGTTGCATGTGCATTGCCAATCTTACCTTTACGATCACTTCTCGCACAATGTAACTCATTCATCAAATTAGTTAATGGCATCTTCATTTTGTGCAATTGATAGTCCACAATAAAACAATGAAAAATATCAAATAAAGAATTCAACACAATATCAACTGAGTCTCTGTGTTGGTTTCACCTAAATTCTCCGCTGCATTGAAGTTTGCAATAATAGTCAATATATGATTCCTCAAAGGCATTTTGGGTTTCATTTGGATGTTTTGTAATGTACGAATGAACTTAGAATGAGCCTTCAACTTTAATGAACAAACATGCCCTAAAGGCTATGTAGTATGTCATATGAGGTATTCCAAATTTTAAGCTTTTTCAGCAACACATTTGATATTAAAGTCAAAATGTAACAACGAGCTATCTTGTCAACAATCATTCACCTGTTATACGTAGCCCTTCTTGACTTGCCCATAGTCTGTGTACATTACTTGGGACATTCCTCCTCAAGTACAAATTATAGTTTCTTCGCAATAAGAATAAGCATCAAATTACATTCCCAAGTCTACATAATTATACCCAATAAGTTGTTTTTGTTCTAGAGTAACGAAAAATGTTACAAGAGACATTTTGCTGAAAAATAATCATACATTGCATGTTAAACTAGAACGCATAAAAAGAATATAGCACGTGATACATGAATACATATATAGATTTATAAAACTATAATATTTAAGTAGGTTTGATTTCATTTGAGAAAAACTATCAAATATTGTAGAGAAATTTGGTCAGTAATACATGAATAGGTGTCAAAAGTTAATATGCGAAGTAACATCGGAAAAATAATGGTGATCTTAACAATTCTAGCTCTTTTGATCATTGAATTAATTTCAAGGTGGAAATCATTGAACACTAGTTTATTGTTTTTATTAGATGGTCTAATTAATAATTTCTTAATTCAAGTGGACGGAAATTGAGTTTTTTTAACTAAATAATTAATAATTATACAGTATAATAATGCTCTTGTTGGTGAGATTAAAATCAAAGTTAATGTCAACAATTAATTTTAACAGATTTCATGATATCCACAACTTTTCATTTTTCAGTTTCACATTTCATCAATTTTTATTAAAATTTACAAAAAAATTGATTTTAAGTGCTTGTTTTGTAGGGATTTTGATAATTGATTTTTCAATCGTTAGAAATAAATTGGATGCTACCTGTGAGAGAAAAATTCAAAAATAATAACTGAAATAGTGAAATAACAGTCAAAAAATTTATTTTAATTGGCTTAAAACTGTACTAAACAAGCACTAATTCACACCAAATATGGACAACATATTTTGTGATAGAACGACTCATAAAACCCCATCCCATTTTCATGCAAATTATCTCAATTAACATTCTTTAATTTCATTTTCTATGGTTGCTTGATTGACAAATAATTTACATGCATATACTGTATCATGACAAGCTACATACTTTCCATGCATGTGCACGTAGTTGATAATGTCATGTCTTCATAAATCTGCAAGTAATTATGTATGTGAATAACGTCTAAAAGGGTGTGAATAACGTTTTCATGCACAAATAATTATAGCCAAATAAATAAATCTTTTTTCTTTTTTTTCATCTATTTGTGTAAATAAAACCCACAAATAAACAAATAAATGTTAGGCAGTAAAAGTGCATCTATAATAACTATTAAAATAGAAAAACTTAAGTTTAAAATATCATTACTTATAAAAAAATCTAGACTGATTTTCACAGTTTTAACTTCTAACTAAACAAGTCCTACTTAGTAGATTTATAAGAATTTCATACATACTTTTGAATTTTTCAACAAAATAATAAGTTTCAAAGTCATAATTTCAAAATGTAGATAGCAACTTAGTTTAAATTTTATCTAAATCTTTACCAAATAAAGTCATTATTGATTTTGAAGCGATAAAATCATTTAGATTTTTGAAACCAAAGTCAAATAAAAACCTCTTTAAAAAAAGAATAAAATAAAAGGTTTTCCAAAAGGGATGAAAATTTAAAAAATAAAAAAATTAATAGAGCGCTCTTAGGCGCGTATTAGACAGTCAACTTAGCATTTGACCACTTAATTCGTGCTTGACAGACAAATCGTTCTCTTCATGCTTTGCATCTAGGCCCTCTTTTTGGAACACTGAACAAAATAATAAAAAAGGAGAAGTCAAAAGCAAAAGATAAATAAAAAATAATTTTTGGAAAAAACTCTCATCTTTTTCGATCCACCCAACCACTAGCATCCCACCCAAACCGACCCACCACCGCAATTGCCAGGGGATTTCTCCTGTGGTTTTGGTCGAAAAATAGGGAGAGATCCCCTTGTGTTAGTCGCCTCTCCTTGTTTTTTTCCAAAATGAGATTTACGTTAAATTGGTGTGGGGGTAGAATGGTGGCGTGATTGGATTTGGGGTGGAGGGTAGGGGTGCTAATTGAGTTAGGCTGCTCATGAGCTTCACGACTTTGTTTGTAAAAATAGAATAAAGCTAATAGCCAGGGTTAAAGATAGGGCCAAATTCAGGGATGTCAAATGTCGTTTCCCTATTGGAGGGGCGGCTGCTCAAACAAAAGGTTTGTAAAAATATGTCTCGGGAGTTGTCTGACCTGTATTTTTTACAAGTCGAGTAGGGACTCACCTCAAATGCTCGTGAGATTCTCAAGTTGGCTCAGCGGCTCGATAGTTGCAGGCACAAGCAGAAAGCTTGTTTTTGGCCTAAATAGGCCTACTCAGGCTTGAAAATTCTACAAAAGCAAGCATGCAACGGATGTATCCATCGTTGAATGTGAATTTGAATGTTGCGAGAAAACATTATGTCTCACGTCGTTAGAAATCCATTAATGAATTTAATAATTTTTTTTAATAAAAATCTCAATTTTGTTCCATAAATATTTTTCTCAGTTCAAAAGATTTATGTTATGTAACAATAAAAGAATCAACTAAGCAAATTAATATAATCAAGTAAATTTAATTACTTTCCAATAAAATAATATATGATATAATGATTAGATATTACAATCAATAACTATAATCAAATTAAAACTTTGGATATCATCGAAGCATATTCAGTAAATAGCAATGCTCTACAAAGTGAGAGACGTAGCAAGGGGGCAAAGTCAAGCGTTAAATCTTTCGAGTGTAGTTACGATAAGACATTTTTTTTAAAAATAAAAATAAATTAACACTATTTTAAGACCATTGATAATTGTTTTAATAAGATCATTTTGTCTAGTATTTTAATGACAACAATAGTAATTATTTTCTATTAATCAGTTTATTTAACCTTAAAAAAGTAATTAAAAAAAAAAAAGGGACATGTGCCTTTTGGTGTCTGGGCTTATCTTTTGCTGCCTAGCCTTTTGCCTTCTAAGCCTCATCGGGCATTAAGGAAAGAGTTGATAGTCGTTTTCACGCCATCATCATATACGAGGCTTTTTCTTCATGCCTCATACCTAAGTCACGCATTTTCGTGAGAAAATGCAATTCATAAAATAAAATTATAGTCGAGAACACTACAAATAATACACTCAAAATTTCAATATATTTATAAAATTATAACAAATTTCTATATTATTTATTCTAATCAGTGATCACCCAGTGGACAACATAGAGTCCCCAGCTCCAACTACTCAACTTAGAATATTAATTATTTTCAAGTAATTAAATTGATATATTAATTATTTTTCAACATAGAGTGCACATTTCCAATCCCTATTCAGCTATAAATATAGTTGATTCTACACAACGGGAGACCATATAGAAAGTACAATGGAACAAGTAAAACTATATGGTTTCGGGCCTAGCCCGTTTAGTTACAGAGTGATATGGGCTTTGAAGCTAAAGGGTGTGAGGTTTGAATACATTGAAGAAAACCTCCCTATCAAGAGCCCGCAACTTTTGCAACTCAACCCGATTCACAAGAAAGTTCCAGTGCTAGTTCATGGAGGCAAACCAATCTCTCAATCTCTTGTAATTCTTGAGTACATTGAAGAAACTTGGCCCGAAAACCCTTTGTTGCCCAAAGATGCATATGAAAAAGCTATGGCCCGGTTTTGGATCCGATTTGCACAAGAGAAGGTGACCTCATTTTCATTTTCATTTCTATATTACACTGCGGCTTGTGCCTCGAAAACCTTAATGACTTTATTTGTGAAGTGCACTCCACACTAGATAACATAATATTCTAATTTGTGCTCTCGAGTTTTATTAAGTATTATGTTTTCAACAAGTACTAAAAGTCAGAACCAGAAAGACCTTTTGAGAATCAACTTATAAATGATTTATAAATCCAGTGAAAGTCGAACATTCATAAATACTACTTACCTATAAATTTGTCAAATGGAGGCTAAGCTTATGATAAATTCCTCAAGGATAAGGCTTCTCTAGGGTCCTTGTGTGAACCAATCTCCATATATCCAAATCACAAATAATAAAAACTCGAGGGGTGAATGCTCATATTATCCATGTAAACAAAATACACGCATTAAACTTATGTGGCTTCTACATGGCTACAACTAAGGAGGGTGGGATGACGTGGAGCACGATTGGGTCTAGGGATGGTGGTTGCAGTATGAGGTGGCAGCCGGTGGATCGGGTAGTAATAGTAGTGATGACTAGAAATTGATAAATTGTATTTTATACTTAAACATTACGCGTTGTTGAAGAGTAACTTCTCGTTCACCATGTTATGTTATTTTGTTAAGTCAATTCAATAGCACAAGGTACTACAAAGGAACAAGAAAACTTAATTTTTGTTTATGGTTGCTCTTGTATCTTGAATCATGTCTAATACTTTACTCCTATTTGGCCCCATTTTCCAAAATTCGTTATTTATTTATTTTTTTCAAATCATTTATCAACTTTTTAACAACACATTTCATCAATTTTTTTTTATCAAAATTTATTAAAAATTTGACTTTTAGCCAAACCAAACTGGGTCTTTACATCGAACACGTCTTTAAATTATTTAAACAAGCAAGAAAGGCATACATTTCCAATAATTTTTATATCTTCTTGAGTTCTTTGCATGAAGTATCCTACCCTAAATACATTCTTTCGAACTGTTGGACAAGATCAAGAACTGGCAATCAAAGAAGCACTACAAGTTCTGCAAATTCTTGAAGATCAAGCTTTAGGGAACAAAAAATTCTTCACTGGCGAAACCGTTGGATTAGTGGACTTATCATTTGGATGGCTTGCTTATTGGAACGAATGCATGGAAGAAACAGCAGGGACCAAGATAATAGAATCAACCAATTTACCACGTTTGCATAAATGGATAGAGAATTTCAAGCAAAATCCAATTATTCAAGAAAATCTTCCGTGCCGTGACAATTTACTAGCATATTTGAGAACAAAACGAGAGAAGATAGTCTTACGGCGTAGCCTTACATCGAACGGTCATAAACGGCAATACAATTTGTTACTTAGTAATCCAACGTATTAGGCCCCCCATTTGGTGTAGCTAAAAGTGATATTTTACTAGATTGTGATAAAAGTTGATGAAATGTACGCTTAAAAGTCGATAAAAGTTATAGGTCCCTTAAAAAGTTGTGATTGTAAATGAGTTTGAATGAAAATGACTTTTTGAGAATGAGGCTAAACATAAGCTTGGAATACTGTGAATTTAATTTTTTCTTTTTAAACATTATCGTCTAATTAAGCCACAGTTTGATTTAATTAAAATTTAAATCAAAATCAATATTTAATTTTAATAGAGCATTTCAGGAAATTCACAATTTTTATCAACTTTTATTGAAAACTATTAAAAATCTGAACCAAACATGGGCTAAATATGTTTGTCCGTGTATCTTATGAATGTCATGGGCATAATCACTTTTTCTGCTTAATGAAAATAGTTATATTTCATGGTTTTTATGTAACAAAGAATTATTTTTATTTTGTATGAATTATGTGGACAGATTTTAATTGAGATGGACAGATTTTAATTGAGATGGATAGCCTGTAATGGGCTTGCTTATATAGATTGTTTTATAATAAAATTTAAATAAATTTTTATTTTGAAAGAGGAGACAAGAAAATCTTCCTTGCCTTCGAGGCACAAATTCATTTTTGAGCCTTACTCAAGATAGAATTTAAGGGTTAAAATAACTTCTTCTTCTTTTTTTTTTTTTCCATTAAATTTTTCAAAAGCTTCGAGGACGCCAAATTGGGGGCAAATCGGCTTGCTTTTTGTCCGTGCCAATAGTTTGATCTAGGATACATAAAATAAATTTAGCGATCAAATTCATATCTGGACCGCGAATCGTTATGAGTCGATTCTATCAGGACACCGAGCCATGCCCGTTCAATCTAGGAACGAACACGCTCATTTTGACATCTCTAGCACAACCTGCCCCCCAACCCCTATAATGGTGTTTATTTATTTTACTCGTACCTATTTTTGCACTGTGCCTCCTTTATCACTAATCAATCATTAAAGAAATTAACTAGTGATCTGGGTTTTTCCCCCTCCGATAATAAAGCTTATCTACCACTGTCAACTTTAACCATCAATATTTTGAAGTCATATCTAACCAGCACTGAGATAAATAATGGATAAGTATCAATCATTCAATTGAAATGTGTAAATTAATCTAATATTGTAAAAATTGCAATCTTTTGTCCAAAAGATTAGGATCTGCACCTATATATTCTTTAGTGTTTAGGTGGGGCCTAGGCAATGTTGGAGAAATTTACACCGATTATGTGTATATTATATTCATAAAAAATATACCGTTTATGTTCACGTTCGATTTATTGAAATGGAGTTTGAGAAACTAACTATTTTGATTATCGAATCTGATCATTTCCATTCTTGAATTAAAATATGTGATTCTTCCTATCGAACATTGCATAAACCATATAAATAAAATTAATCATTTTCTAAAATCAAGTAGAAATTAAATCAGAAAAATTAGATGTAAGTGATGCGATTGACCGAGGCGAGTATAACTCTTTCATAATTCAATTCATAATATCCGTATCGAGTGCTTTGTGAAAGTCTATATACTTTCAAAGTAGTAATCGTCAACTTGCATATAATGTACTTCAATTTAATTAATTTTTAACTTGATCATCCAAATTAAATCAGAGCCATCATATGAATCAGCAATGCTTTCCAAGCATAAACCAATTTAATTGGTCTCACGATTGAAGTCAATTTCAACATTGAAGAAGGCTAAGCATCTTGATTTACAAGAATTGCAATTTCTCCAAACATATGTAACTTATCACATTTGTGACATTTCACATGATAATTTCATTTCAATCATCGGTTAAAAAGTTGTGTTCTTAAAAGATACAATCATATAAAAGGACACACCTCTTGAATTAATCTCTATGAAGAGACATACCCGTTGAAAAATAATTATACCAAAAGTCATGATTATTCATATGAAATAACGCACATTTTCATCTAAATTGATCATGAAATATTTCAAATAATTAAGTGGCTTAATTCTCATAAAAAAATAATTATATCCACTTAAATCATCTCACTTAATTTCATATGATTAAATGAGGCTATCAAAATTAATTAAATTGTTGGGGAAATTTACACCGATTACGTGCATATTATATTCACAAAAGCATATCGATTATTTACGTGAAATCGAAACATAATTTCGACTTATTGAAATAGGATTTAAAAAGCAAAACATAAAAGTTACTAAATCTGAATGCATGGATATGGATTCATCCCTTTCAATTTTTGAACGAAAGCAAATTATTCTTTTGATCGAACCTTACAACATAAACATGTAAACAATGTTAATCATTTCCTGAAATCAAAATAAGATCAAAAGAAATCAAAAAACTGGAGGAAGAAAGATGCAAGTAATGAATTTTTGGTCGAGGCAAGTGTTTGACACTTGGTCCTTAAGATGAATTTGCCTCGCATCGGCGCTAACGATTTTTCGACAATCATCTCCCAAGATACAACGATCACGTCAAATCATAGGAGCACTCCAAATGACTTCCACCAACGTACTCGAATGGAATTCCCTCTTTATGAAGGAAATGCATGAAAATTGTATAGAATTAGAAATGAGAGAATTGCAAGAGGTGAATGAATGTTCAATGCAATTGGTGTACCTAAAATCATGTCCATAGGGTTCTATTTATAGATGCGGAAAGGGTGCAAATAAAGTAGTGTGGGCCAAAATATGCATCCTTTCAAAAAGTTGCAACACTTGGCTAAAAATTGTATTCCTTTCGAAAAGTTGCAACACTTAATTTCTTCCAATTTTGGTCCATAATTTCTCATTCATCCGAAATTGGTTTCGAGATTTCAAATATACCACGATGATTTACACGACAAGTAGAATAAGTTGGTCTATTTACTTTTATAATTTGACCATCGGATCAAGTCCGAATATTTAGTCGAAGTTGATACGTAGTCACACCTTTTCATTTTTCACTTTTACGCACATTTTTATTTTCCAAATTTTGGTTAATTATTTGAAACAATTCCTACAGGCAAAACTACTCATGAGACATGAACAGGGCTAATTCTTATTTTGACCATCCACAAGCGGGCTTGGATGACAAAATGCGTGGCAACTACATAGCTAATCGTCAAACGCGTGATTAATGCGAGCCTAGGCGAAAAAGGATGCCCATTTTTATAATTAAATAAATAAATGATTATTAAAATCTAAGAATAAATTAAACAATATTAAAAATAAGAAAACGCCTTATTTTGTCTACACTTATAAAGTTTAAAGTTTGGTCTAGCCATTTTATTGCGATTTATGCTTTTTCGGGCATTAATACACATAAACGTGAGAGAGAACTGAATTGTCCTAAAGTAGTTTATGCTTGAGGTATTTTATGCTTGAGGGATACTTAAACTAGAAAATTCATGTCATACCCATCATTTTCTTTCTTTGTTTAATTATGCAGAGAAAAGGAAGGCTACTAAAATTTAAAATATTCAAACTTAAATTATCCAAAAATAAATAAGTTTTTAAATAGATAATTCTTTATTGGTGAAAAGGGAAAACGAGTATTCTTAACATATGGGGTCCCAATGGATATTCTTCTAATATTATATAACTAAGCACCCACTTTTATAAAGTTTATCAACACCATCAATAATACTCGATGTTATCGGAAATTCGACTAACGCAATCAAAAGAACAAATAAAATAAGCAGAAAAATAGAAAACAGTAGATGAAGCGAGATATACCAAAGCAAATCCCCTTAAAACAGATTTCGCCCCCCAATAAAGTGCAAACAGGATTATGGACGTCTGTTTCCCAAGATACAACGCTCCTTCCAAAGTCGATATTGCACAATACCAACATTGTCGGTCAAACCAATGAATGATCATACTCGAACGGAATAACCACGAAAATATAAGAGACTTTTTAGAGCAGAATATGGAGAGAGAAGAATTTAGAAATCAATTGAATTCGTAATTGATTTGGTGTGTCCAAAAACGAATCTGGGGGTCTCTATTTATAGAGATTGAAGTGTCTTATGGAACAGGTGTGTGACATTTCATGAACTGGTGCACCACTTGGTCTGATTCGTCTTAACTATTGGATCGCACTATTTTCATGATCTGACGGCCCAGATTGAACCATGAAGTAAAGTGTCCATTCGTCATGCCTATTCACCAATTTCTGAACAGTCACAGCCATACGGATGCCACGCGTACATCTAACCGCCACACAGGACGAAGGGACGTGACCTACTACGCGTGCGCCACCTAGAATGCCAACTCACCGAGCCTTGCGCTGCCACATTATCAAACCACGAGTCCAATTTCGAAAACTATAAAGCTCCCCAGCTCCTCGCGACGATGCTTACGTGCGAAGTGTCAAGTACGCCTCTAAAGCGCCCAATGCGTACTTTGCGACGTGCGCGTGCCGGGACCGGGTCCGGGAAGTGGCGGAGTGGTGCGAAGCACCACTCTAGTGGTGACTAGCCTTTAGCTAGCTAAAGTTAGCCAAGTGGTACGTAACTTATTAAATTATATATTATTCACACAACCCACTATATAAACAAGATTATTTTCTTGTAAACTTTTGATGTGGGATTCCTTTCCATATAAAAAACACTTAAAATGAGTTTATCAACATATGGGCCTATATTAGAGACTTTTTCAATTCACCCAAATTAATTGCAATGTCCCACATCATTAAATATTACATTTAATGTTTTAAACCCAAATTAAATTCAATTAATTCCAACAATCCCCCACATGAATGAAAGAAGTCGACTCAAATCAAGGAAGACGGAAGAAGAGTACTATCTGAAAGATAACGCATCAAAATAGGTAGCTTTCGCTTTGAACCTTCTTTAGTAAGAACCTATCGAACTCACTTGGCTAATCAGTGAACGCAACGTTTTGAACTGTCACGCGTTATTGCAAGGTCAGACAATAGACCAAACACATTATCTCTCATATCAAACTTGGTTCTCTATTGTGTTCATTA